CAACATCGCGTTAGAAGGTGTGATCAGAAGAGCTGGGATAGACACGAGTGGCACGATATTCAGGAAGTCCATCCAGCTCCTTGGTTTCGCCGATGACATTGACATTATGGCACGGAACTTTGGGATGATGGCGGAAACGTACATCAGACTGAAGGCTGAAGCTAGACGGATTGGACTTGCCATCAACGCATCAAAGACAAAATACATGAAAGCAAGAGGTTCTAGGGAAGACAATGTTAGCCTCCCACCCCGAGTTCAGATTGACGGTGACGAAATCGAGGTGGTCGATGAGTTTGTGTATTTGGGCTCACTGGTGACCGCCGAAAATGATACCAGCAGAGAAATTCAAAGACGCATTATGGCAGGGAATCGTGCCTACTTTGGACTCCGGAGGACGCTCCGGTCGAATAAAATCCGCCGCCGCACGAAGTTGACTGTCTACAAGACGCTGATTAGACCGGTGGTCCTTTACGGCCACGAGACCTGGACTACGCGCCCTTGGTGTTTTCGAACGGAAGGTGTTGCGTACCATCTACGGTGGAGTGCAGATGGATGACGGAACGTGGAGGAGGCGAATGAACCACGAATTGCACCAGCTGCTGGGAGAACCATCCATCGTCCACATTGCAAAAATTGGGCGACTACGGTGGGCTGGGCACGTCGTAAGAATGCCGCACGACGACCCAGTGAAAATGGTTCTAGAAAGCGACCCAACAGGAACAAGAAGAAGAGGCGCGCAGCGGGCAAGGTGGATCGACCAAGTAGAAGGTGACCTGCGGACCCTTCGCAGACTACGAGGCTGGCGAACTGTGGCCATGGATCGAGTAGAGTGGAGACGACTTCTTCGGACAGCAGAGGACAACAAGGCCTTAGCCTGATTGGTAAGTAAGTATGGTAGTGACCACTTGCCAATCAAAATTTCTATTACCAATGGTTCATCGTCCACTCGCTCGGTTGACATCGCGTACAACCTCACGAAAAACATCGACTGGCAAAATTTTGCGTCCGCGGTTCTCGGTGGTACTGATTCGGTTGAGATACTCCCAACGCTGGATGAGTACTCCTTTTTATCGTGACTTATCGTTGACTGCGCTCTTCAAGCACAGACGAAACGCGTTCCGGGTGTTTCCGTTCGCAAACGACCTCTCACTCCGTGGTGGGATAAAGATTGCACCGACACGAACAGCGAGAAGTCCGCCGCGTTTAAACGCTTCCGCAAACAAGGTAAGGTCGGGGATTTCCAGCGGTACACCGACTACGTGAAAACTTTTAAGGGCTTGATCGGTTCGTCGATGGTTTGTTGCGAGAGACTTCCATGAGAACACTCTGGAATGTCAGGAGAATGCGTAACGCGTCATCACCGGTCAACGAAGACAAGGAGTACTCGGACAGTTGGATATTCAGCTTCGCGCGGAAACTTTGTCCGGATTCGGTGTCGGTTCAAACCAACGTTCGTGATCGTCCGTCGGGTAATAACGAAATAGATTCCCCGTTTTCAATGGTGGAATTCTCACTTGCGCTCCTCTGATGTAACAACTCAGCTCCAGGAATGGATAGAATCAAGTTCAACTTGCTCAAAAATCTCCCAGACGTCGCGAAGAGACGCTTGTTGAACTTATTCAATCAATTTCTGGAGCACAACATTGTTCCGGATGATTGGAGGCAAGTAAGAGTTATCGCCATTCGAAAACCCGGTAAACCCGCGTCGGATTATAACTCGTACCGTCCCATCGGTGCTATCCTGTATAAGGAAATTGTTGGAGAAAATGATTCATTTTCGTCTAGACAAATGTTTCGAGTCGAATGACTTCAGATACGCAATTTGGATTTCGGAGAGGCAAAGGAACGAGCGACTGTCTTGCGTTGCTTTCAACTGAAATTCAACTGGCCTATGCGTAAAAACAGCACATGGGTTTAGTTTTCTTGGACATTAAGGGAGCTTTTGATTCTGTTTGTATCGATGTCCTTTCGGATAAACTCCATGATAGTGGGCTTTCACCAATTATGAACAACTATTTGAGCAACTTGTTGTCTGAGAAATATATGACCTTCTCTCATGGAAACTCGACAACTTCACGAATTAGTTACATGGGTCTCCCCCAGGGCTCATGTTTAAGCACCCTTTTTTATAATTTTTATGTAAAAGACATTGATGGTTGTCTTGATGAAAATTGCTCGCTAAGGCAGCTTGCAGATGATGGCGTTGTTTCCGTCACTTAACCAAGTGCACCGGACCTGCAAGGACCATTGCAAGATACCTTAGACAATTTGTCTACTTGGGCTATGAAGCTGGGTATCGAATTATCTCCGGAGAAAACTGAGTTGGTTGTTTTTTCTAGGAAGCATCATCCTGCACAGTTACAGCTTCAGCTAATGGGTAAAACAAGCACTCAAAGTATTTCTTTTAAGTATTTAGGTGTCTGGTTCGTTTCCAAATGTACATGGGGAAAACATATTGCGTATCTGAAACAAAAATGCCAGCAAAGGATTAATTTTCTTCGTACAACTACCGGAACTTGGTGGGGGAGCCCACCGGGAAGATCTGATCAGGTTGTACCGAACAACCATCCTTTCGGTTTTAGAGTACGGCAGCTTTTGCCTCCAATCCGTAGAAAAAACACACATCCTCAAGCTTCAACGGATTCAATGCCGTTACCGTTACGCGGGTGTTCTTCCACTGACAGATCGTTTCGCTGAACTGTCCTTCCGGTTTCTCATCCGTTGTGAAGTAATGAATCCTTTGGTAATTGAACACTTTGAGAAGCTGCTCGACCGAAATCCTCATACAAGATTCACGAAGAGCTTTGAGTGTGTTGGTTTATATCCTTTTAATTCCGTTATAATTGCGTATTTCGTCTACTACAGGCAGACTTCATCAGTGCCAAGTACTCAACACCACTGAAGAATCCATCTTTTATCTACGAGTTATATACTAATCAATAGGTACTAAAAATCAGCAGGTATCATGTTACAATTTACATAGCCAGGTACCTAAATGTGATTGCTTTCAAGCCTTCTATAGTTCCTCTGTAAATTTTGATCTGACCATGATGCAAGAAATCCATGGAATACCAGATCACTATCGGTTGATGGTTGTTCCCTCAATTTTTGCAATCAAGTACCACCATGTAAAAGTTTTTTCACAGATGGGTCAACCATAAATGCTTGCACTGGATTTGGTGTATTTAATCAATTTCATAGCGCCTCCTATAAACTTCAAAAACCACGCTCCGTATACGTTGCGGAGCTCGGAGCCATATTTTACGCAGTAGAGCGAATTGCCTCACTACCTTCTGACCATTATTTCATTTTTACCTCGAGATAGCCGCGATTAATCAGCCCCCGCTTTACTAACGTTAGTTTTAAGTAATTTTGTTATCTAAACAATGAATATCGGCTCCGCAAAGCTACAGCAAATGAGCCTGGAAAAATAAACGCATTATTAAAAAAAAAACAACAAACCTGAAGAGCATTAAATCTGAAGATTTGGACATCATGAACTTCAGAAATCAACAAATTCTGAGATCAAGTAATCCTCCTAGTAGCACACTTGTTACAAATCGGTTGACAACTCCTATGTGACTCATTTTTAGTCGCAATCAAGTGGCTGCAACTTTTTGTGACGGTTATGTGCTGCTTGGGGGCCGTAGATTATCTCTTCGAGAACCAAACCAAAATCGTGAAAGTTTGGTTGGAAATTTTTGATTATGCTCTAAATGAATAAAATAGTTATTCAAATCATCGATCAAAAGTTTAGGGTCACCCCACAGTATGACTTGTCGCTGTTGTAAGTTTACTTGAAATTTTAGTATAAATATATGGAAAAATATGATAAGCCACAAAGCAATGAAGTAAGATACATTGCCTTTCAAATACTGCAAAGAGAACTAAAATTTGACAAAAAATGGTAGAGCTAATATTTTAGAGAAGATTCTTCCTTCTTTTAGACGTGAGCAGTTCTTTCGAGAACTTTGAAATATCACTTCTGCATTCTAGTATTAGAATGTTTGATGGGAAATCAGCATCTAATATTAGAATATCAGACATTTTAGAAATGTTGTGATGTCATGTCTCAAAGAAGGAAAAATCCCTTAAAATTATTATAATCGGGCTAAGTTGTGTTTGGTCTAGTGTTATAAACCCGTCGACAATAGTTTTCATTTTATTTTTGTGTGCGTAAATTACGTCCGAAACATATTTAGAACATTTTAAAACTGGCCTCAAATGGAAGAGGAGCTCTTCAGATTTCGTTAGGTGGATGTTTCAGCGATACTGATTTTTTGTTTAATTAAATGACAGAGACACTGTGACAACGTTTTCAAAATGTTGTCACCTGAATAATAACCGTAAATTCAAATTAATCAAAACAAAATACATATGCAAACAAAACGGACTCACGAGCGTCATTGTAAACTCTCATAATCTTGTGAATCTTATGATGCATAGCAGAACATCAAGAACAATATAATACAACAGCCATTCGATTACCATTGAAAACCTAATAAGTGTCCAAAGCTAGTGGACTTTCCCTGACACTATAAACAGTTGATAACCTCTCTGTTCTGCGAATTATTGAATTGCAAAGGCGATTAACGACCTCTCGACATTGGCGTAACTAAGGAAAAATCCTATGGGGGGCTTCATTTATTTTTCGAACTTCTTAATTAGGCAATTAGAAAATAAGTAATTGTAGTGAAAATTCTTGCGGGGGCTACATGAACTCTGAAGGGGCTGCTACCCCCTCCCCCCTCCCACGTAGTTATACCAATGCCTCTCGTAGCTGCATTGGTTCAGGTTATCAATATCAAATCGATTGTTGTTGAAAAACAATGCAACGGATTTACAAACTTATGACAATGCAACGTTTATCATCATGTTCAGAAGTCATGAACGAATCAAGTTTGAAACGAAAAACCTATGAGATATTGAACAAGTAGCAGCTGATGTGGCCGACTAGAAATGGATGTGTTTGGCCAACAAATCCCAGTACGTACACATACCTGCGACAACTGCTCGAACACGGATCCCCATTTCGGGTAGGGAAACTTCCCGGTAGCTACTTCCATCAGTGTAATACCTAGCGACCAAACGTCGCTCCGCACATCGTAACCCTTGGCACGCTGTGGATCGATTCGCTCGGGCTGAAAAAAAATATATGTATCAACCAATCGATTGAATCCAAACAATCGCTAAGTGCACCCCGCAACCACTTACCGCCATATACGGCCGACAACCAGCGTCCTTAGTCCGCGCGATCGAATCCACCAGCTGGCCGGAAATGCCAAAATCACACAGCTTTATATCACCGTTCCGCTTCAGCAGGATATTGCTCGGTTTCACGTCCCTGTGGATAATCTTCAGTTCCTCCTTCAGGTAGTTCAACGCCCGCACCGTAGCCAGCGTAATCTGGCCCAGAATCGGCTCCGGAATCCGAGAGTGCTGACAATCACAGATAAATTTGTAAAACTTGTCCAGCGACGTGTCCATCAGTTCCATGCAGATCCAACAGTCGCCCTCCTTGAACAGTGCCCCGTAGAACGTGACGATCGTATTACAATCGTTCGACTTCATCACCACTTCCAGATCCATCAGCAGCTGTTTCTGTTCCTTCTCGTCGACGGTCGATCGAATCCTCTTGACTGCCATCACCGTACCCGTTCGGTTGAATTTCATTTGATTGACAGCCCCGAATGCGCCCCGGCCGATTTCTCCTTCATCCGTCAGGTCGTCGGCTGTGAAGTCGTAAATTGCATTAGGAGCTATCTGCAACTTCCCCGTGGCTTGCATCTTGATCCGATCCCTCGTTCGGTCCGACAACGGAGGGGTTCGTGCGGTAACCACCGGGCTCGGTTGAAAGCTCAACTTCTTCGAAGGTCGCTTCCGATCGCAGTTCGCATTATTCATATCCAGTGACAGGAACTTTGTTCGCATTGGTTCTGCTGTAGAGATAAAAATAGCAAATTCCATAATCTCCAACAAAAGATAAGCATATTATTTCATTCAACACCTACCCTGTGTGGAGTTTTGATTTGTTTGATCCGCCATGTTTGCGTGACAATTAGATGAAAGAAAAAAATCGGATTCACACAAAAATATTCGGTCACTCTTGTGCCAAGGCTCTGCACTTCCGTAAATCCGGTCTACAGTGGTCACAACGGTGCACGTCACAGGAACAAGGTATACGCGTTGGCAGTAGCGCTAATCTACCACCGAGCCACCAATTTTCTCGCTCGGAGGACACTCTTTTCCGATTGCGATTCTCCGGAAAACGACCACCGACCGAAATGGTTCCCCTTTCTTTACACTGCTGTATTTTCCGACACTATAATTGCGTTGCACTGTCGACTGAAAATTAGTTTTTCCGATGCAAAATTTTCAGCTAAGTATTTGTCTCAGCAATACACGTCCTGTAGGAAGAAAAACGGAAAACACAACCCCAAGAGTAGCACTTTTTCCTCCGTTTTCGCAGTTAGTGAAGAGAACTGCACCGTGAACACTGAACACTCTTCATTGATGGGGTTTTATTCGCATCGCTGTCTTCCCCCCTTCGTGTTCGCACTGGTTCTGTCTCTTTCGTCATCTTGCGTCAACGCATCATCATCAAGCATATCGTTAATGATGACAGTTCGTTTGGATGCGTGTGCGTGAAATGCAACACGGGGGAGTGCCCATATGGACAAGATTAAATTTTACAGGTGATCGAGTTTTTTTTGAGTGAGCTCCGAATTAAGGTGTTTTCTTGTAAAGTTCATTTTTCCATCACACCTCGCAATTTCAAGAGCACACAGCTCAAGATCTACGAGGTTTTTATATTTGAAAATTCCAGACATTGCTTTCTTCTCCGCAGCAAACGACAAGTAGTAGTTTCAGCTACGTGCATTCACAGAAGCCTTATTATTTGTACATGTGAAATTGCGAAGTGTAATACGAAAAAGGACGCTACAGGGAATCACCTTAACATACTGCGAGCTTGAAGCTTGTACAAATTGGTGCACTGATAAATTAAACTATTCCCATTTTGCTTGAAATTTAATCAATTTGACATTAAACTCAGTTTAATCTCGGTTTAATCCTATCAAATGATTAAAAATTATTCCTCTCTTTCTAAAAAATAAGCGTCTGATATTAATCCCACTTTAATCATGGTTGATTAGATTGTAGATTATCTTTTTTTGAATAAATTTTAATCATTTTTGATTCTATTTAAAAAAAAATTGATTTCATTTTAATCTTTTTTGAATATATATCAGCATTGAAAAAGAATAAAATTTAATACTGGGAAGATTATTTCGATTATAATCATGCATGATTACTGCCGAAGTAATCATGGCTCTGACTCAATAAGGTGAAGCTGGAATCTGCATTTTACGTTTGTCAGACGTCAGACTGTGCGTGAAACATGGTGGATTTTGTACTATCCTTTCACTCCACCGAAAATTCCCATAAGAAACTGTCTAAATTTGCTGGAAGAGAAAATTTTTCGACGGTGTCGTCAACGCCAATTTAGTTGTTTTTTCTTCCAAGACTCAATCCCTTCAAATAGAACAGTGAATTATTCTCCGCCACCAGTGGTTGCTGCTGTTGCGGTGGCATTCCAAATATGTCGTATTTTCTACCGGTGGACAGGTATCAGAATTTCATTTCATCTTCAGCGCGTTTGGCTTTGCTTTTTCTGAGTTGCTCTTTACGGACGTACGGCTGTTTGTTTGAACTGTATAGAGATAGGAGCATTGTCAGGACATATTTTGAGAATCTAGCAGGTAAGTGGTAGATCTCATAAGTTAGGATTATTGCTAATGAAATATATTATTTTCTAGATTGTTTGCAATATTGTGCAGATGAACTCGTTTCCTAGAACCTAATCAATTTGCAACGAATTCTCATCTCCACTAAAAATGTAAAATAAATCGACATAGTGAAACAAGCTGGACGAGAAAGCAGCGGAACACCTACACGGATAGAAATATCCTTTTACCTTTTGGCAAATTTCTATTGCTGATTATTCATAAAATGAATAAGTCAACTAATAAGCAGACGCCTTGCAAAAAGTTTATGAAGATCATGTGTCAAATGAAATGTATAAGCGGTCACACATACCTTTTATGCATTCTTATAGGACCTATATGGTTTGTCTTATGGAATGTATAAGGCTGATGTTTGGCAAAAATGTATAAGTGAAACACATGAATAAAATAATTGATTTTCGTTTCGTGTACGTGAAGATGCCAAGGATGGTGACCATCTGGAACAATTTCGGAGAAAGTTAAACGAGAGAGGTCCTAAAGTTGGGTAAAAATGATTAATACCAGTAAAGAATAAAATGTTTTATAATTTAGTTGTGATGAGACTGTTAATGAAAAAAATCTTCCAGTTACTCCCTGTTACTCCCAGCCGAGCTCCCAGCTTTATTAGGCCTCCATATTAAATTTAAAATAGTTAGAAAAGTCAACAATGTTTTGTCGGTAGGTACGGCTAAATCTTCATCTTGGTAGACCCACGAAACGCTATAAATTGTATGTTTCGTTGAAATGCCTGGCGGTGGTGGTGCAACGGAAGCCAATCCCAGTGGTACAGATATCGGATCGTCACTTTCGATCTTGATATTCGCCGATTCCACATTGATCGAGCCATTCTCATTCATCAAAACGGATTGTACAGCTTCTCAACTGTTCGCACGGTTGGTCCCGAATTGTCAATTTTCACATTCAAAATGAATCTGAAACAAGCATTAAAAATATAGTATAAGAGTCACGCTTGAATGTCATTATTAAATGGCATAAAGTTTACCTTATTACATGACGATTGATTCCATATTCGTTGAAGATTTCATCGATGCTCATCAGCAAGATTTTGATATCCTTCATCACCAACAACCCGTGGATGACGCGTCTACGCTTCCGATCTGGTGGCCCAGCATAGTTCTTTTTAGCTTCATCCTTTACTATTCGCTGGCCGATGTGGAACTTTTCTTTTATCTTTTCCTTCAAAATATCCATCTTTATCGCTTCGACCAAAATTACGTTCTTGGGTTCACACTACTGGATCTGCATTAGCACTGAAACTCATGTCGATCGACATCTTAAATTCAACCACCTGTCGATTCTCGAACACCAACTTTTTCGCTCCTCCGAGAATCTTGTGTCCGACCGTTCCCTGGCCTGACGCAACAATATTATTTTAGGTGCCTACCTGGGTGCCTATCTCTTCTTCCTCCTGCAGTGAGAGGGCCAATGTCCGTTTCAAGGACAAATCTGCACACAAACAAATAAAAAGGAGGATCTGTCATTATCAGCGTTATGTTATGGTTGAGTATATGGTTGCCAGTAAATATATTTCTTCGGTTGTAGTTTTGACAGCTCGGTCAATCCAGCTTTCCATGCTCGGTAATGGTGGCCTGTTTGTATGAATAAACGTATCCTTCACTGTGCTTTTTGACACTAACTGGAGGGCGTATGTTGTTCCATTTTCTTCTGTTCCTGGGAGAGGGAAAGGGAAGGGGTTGAAATTCGAACATCCAGATAGTGTCAAAAAGCACAGTGAAGGATACATTTATTCATACAAACAGGCCGCCATTACCGAGCATGGAAAGCTGGATAGGATGAAACATCTACACACAAAAAACAAATATTGTTTTAATAAAAATAATGCATTATTAAATTAAAAGTTTCCCAAAATTCGTAATTTTGGCTATGAAAATATTCAAAACCAAAATTATGCTTTTGATTTAAACGTGTTTCTAACACCTTCACACCTTGTTAAACTGTCAAAAATACCTCTTCGCAGCGACTTACTGGCAGCACTGAACAGAGCTAGCTCATTTGGCTCATTTGCAGTCTTCATGCCGATCTGGTCGCTATAGTAGAAATTCGATAATAATCTTGGCCATGTTTCAATACAATATAGATTGATATTGTTCCTGTTTAGCTTTAGGTAAGTAACATATTAATGAGTTTTTTGTATCCAAAATAATTAATTTTATTAAATTCTTGTGCTGCCCAATTTCAGGTTATGATTATGTCTCTTCCATACACACCAAAAATCTGAATCAAGTTCCAGCAAAATGGATTGCTGATCTGCTTCCAGCAAAAGTAGTTTTTACTGATCAACCAGCAATCTAAACATTTTTGCTGGAAGCTCAGTAATATGCATGATCTGTCAAATATGGGATCATTTTTATGTTTCACATTCCCGCGGCATTTTTTTTTAGAATCAAGAAGTGCTTTTTTAACAGTATTATATTACTCATGCTTGTGAAATTCACTACGAACCAGTAAGTAAGTCCATTAACATTATCACTACGTGAATTTAACTAGGTTTATTATTTTGATTTCAGATAAAATCCTTGCTAGAAGTGCTTCTGAATCTTTGAGATGTGAAAAAAACACATGGAATATTGTTCTATCAAGCAATAAAGATAAAAATGGGATTCACCTAATAAACGAACTATACATATACCTAGATTTTACTTATATTTAACTCTTAATTTGACACAATCTATAGAAAAACAAATTAAATTGCTGGTGATTCAGTAAAATATTTATTATGCAGTTTTGCTGAACAAACCAGTGAAATATTGCTGGTTTTGCAGCAATGAGCTGTCAAATGAGCTGCAAGATGTTTTGCTGGTCGTTCAGTAATAATATTTTGCTGAAAGGATTGCTGGATTTCCAGCTCGGCAAAATCCAGCAAAATTTTGCTGGTTTACGGCAATAAAAAATGGGTGTGTAAGTTCCATTCACCAAACGTTAATCCGGATCTCCTATCTAAATGATTATGTACCCAGTCGGTCGTCAAGTCGAAGGGAGTTCTTCTCCGGCCAAGGTCACGATCAGGGCTGGCAAATGTCATTATCAATGAAAGATCTCACGCGATATTTACAGAGATACTTCTGTCACTATCATCGGATGAGAAAATGATGATGGAGATTTTCTTCAAAACCTCATCGAATTTTTTGTCATGACAGAACGTGACAGTGTTGTGTCCATCGTAATTACTAGCTCATTTATTGCTATTAATGTTGCTAGTTCCGAGGAAATCTTAATAATATATTCACTCAATCGATTACATACGGTTGCTTGCTTTAATTCATCTAAATCAGTTAGAAATGTTGATGTCACAACCGTATAAGAATTATTCTCATGAGTGCTTGATCATTGGAAAATGACAAGAAAACCAATGATAGGTAGTCTCGTCACGTGATAGTGAGAGGGCCTGTTTTCTCATTGTCACATGACGGCTGTGATATTTACCAGCTCTGGTCACGATCAACATAGTCCACATCAGTCGCTGTTGGTAGGCAGTTCGGATGACTACACCGCTATGGAATTTGATTTATCCCCAACCGTAGTGCTACTTCTGGCACGGATTTGACCATCGAAGTTAAGCAATCCATTTACATGACAGAGAGAATTCAAACCCGCGCAGGCGAATCGAGTATTAAATCATAGCTAGAAAGGTTAGTATTTATAACTAGCAAATCTCGTACCAAATAACTAAACGAAGTTTTTCCGCCAGGTGAAATTATCCCTATAGACGAGATGAAAGTCGCATCCACGGTTGCGTCCCCAGTATCCGGATCAAAGAAAGGAGCTGTTTTGGCAAGCGAACAACCCGGGAATTCTAGCTAAACATAATGTGGAAGCCGCACGGAAATCTTTTCGCTATGTTCCAGTGGATACGATCCAGCAGATCAGTGATGGAATACTAAAACGAAAACCCATTGTGACTCGCGAATTTCTCCTGATCTTCGCGAAATATCGCGAACTTTTCTAAAGCTACAGCCGAGGCTACAGCAGATCACTGATAGCTTACACTGAAGGAAGAAGCCAGCATTATAGATCCAGATATATTATTAAATCAACAGATAAGATTAATAAATTTGTTATAAAAGTATAATATTTATGCAAATAGTTAAAAATATATATAATAAAAAAATGCTTCTTGATGGTATAGTTATTAGAATTTAAAATGAAAAATATATTGTTATTTAGAAAATGCTTTTATTTGAATCGATAGTATTTGTTTTTTAATTAAAATCAGCTCATTTCAAATCAATTATGTTGAACTTTCATGACAAAAGCTTGTTTCGAAACAAACATAATTCACTTTTATTTTCAACACTGTCATGTTTTTCATTTGACAGTAGTACAATTCATTTTGAAGTTTAAACTTTTAAAAGCAGCAAGTGGACTACTTTTGATTTGACAGTTGGCTGACTGTTGGTTTGAAAGCTATCCGCTTTCTACCAAAAAGAACCAACGCCAATTTTTAAATCTACCAACGTTTCTTTTAATATTAGCAACAATAATTTTTTGTGTGTAGAAACACCTTCCGGCACCCAAAAACGCACATGAAACTCAATAAGCACAGACACAGATGGTAGAGTGACTTACCCCCTGGAGTTATGTCTGTTTTCTGTTTGACATAACACATTGAATATTTCTCTCTGTAATGCCTTGTTCAGATTACAGAGTTATAACAACAATCAACGATTTTAAATTGGCTCACTACTTGATTAGCCTATTGGTCCCAAGCAAGCGATTAACGTACCCCATTCTAGTCAAAATTCTAGTACTACGCAATGTTTATTTTGATTTGCTATGAAAGTTTGACAGATAAAATGAGGGGTTAGTGGATTTTACTATGCTTCGAAGGGTGAATCGATTAGTTTGGGACCAAAGATAGTACCAGAGCTGAGCCAAAAAGTTGAGCACGTTATTTCGGGACCTTCTAGCGTTAAACGCTGTCCAGACTGAGCAGTTAGAACATGTTATAACCACAGACAAATTATAACGGTTGTCAAATAATTGCAACACAGAAACCACTATCAAGATAGCGCCAGCGTTTAAAACATCGTCGCTAAAAAATTACCACCTCGATTACCACCATCTGTTAAGAACACTATGGTGGACAGTACGCAGAACAGATGGCGGTAGTGTTTAAACGTCAAATGCAAGGGAATTTACAATGCGCGCAACAGGTGTCGGTACTAACAACTATAATACTTTCAAATTACCGTTACATGCTTGTTCGATGAACAACTTGCAAGTTTAAAGGATTAACTTGCAAGAGTTATGTCTGTTTGTCTGTGCCATCAATATTGTACCATGTAACATAATTGCGCATCACCTCCACCAAGGCTTCCACTGCAGAATGTGGATACAAAATAAGCGCGCATAGCATTTTATTCCCTGCGGCACTAATGTAAAATCCACATTAGCTTGTGGTGGTTTCACGCCCACACTACCTTAATAAAAAAAGTTCCAATCCCGAACGATAAGCTAAATGATAGAACTATTCCACAAGTGCTTTGGATGTTATCCTGAATATAACAGTTGTATACTTGTCCTTAAGCAAACTAACCATACAAATGTTATTAGGGTATTATTTATTTGCAAATTTCATGTACTTCAGTTTTTTCTTCAAAGGAAGTTAGTATTGACCCTAACAATTAAATCTAAGAGGGTTTTAAAATATTTCATCTCGGTTTAAAAAAAATGTTTTGAAGTTCACATAATCATACCAACTTAGGCATCTCAGAGAGAAAGCAGTAGGCAAAATTAACCAAACCGAATTTTTAAAAATAGGGTTGTTTAATTCCGAAAAAAAAAATGTGCTCTTGCCTTCGGCCCATTTTGTTCGATGATAATTATTTTAAAAAATTACCAAAAAGTAAATGAAGAAGTATTTTTTTGGGTTTTTTCAGCTATTATTAAAATTTTGCGATCACCGCGTGTATCTCACCAGTAAATTCAAAGCAAAGAACAAGCAAAGTCCGAGCCCTGTGCCAATGTCGACTGTGTCGATTAGATCAACCTTCTAGAATTGGGTCGATCAAATCGAAAATGGCGACTGATTGAAGTGGAAGTGTTTTTTCGTTGGGATAATTTTGATCGGTATTCTGAAGTCAATCGGTGATTTGCGCGTTCCAAGAGGTACGATAACCGTTCGTAACTGTTTCCGGATGTCGTGGGTGTTGTTTGGAATCGATTTCCACTGGGTGTGACGTAGAAACCTTCCGCGGATCGCGAACTCGGACTCGAAAAAAAAAAAAAGTGGCTACGCAATGGCTGCCATCATCGGGCTTGGTAGTGGTGGTGTGTTGTGCTTTGGCTGGATGGAGATGTTTATTACGCTTGCGGAATACAACCCTGGTTGATGTGGCGATTCCGTTCCTTTCACCTTGATTGGGCAGGGAGGAAGACAAAAAAAAAGCTAGAGAAAGGAAAATAATCGATGATCTCTTGACGAAAGAAGTGGCCAAAATTGCATTTTCTTTCTCTGTGCTGTGGTGTTGTTACGTACGTGGCTTCCAGGGTCGGGGGAAGCGGCGCGATCGGTCGCCGGAAGTCGCCGCCGGGTTTGTGATAAATGGAAGCTTCTTGCGTCGTGAGACGATTTCGGATTCGAACGGTTTCGATTCGGTCATGATCCGTTGATGTCGTCGTCTTCGTGCGGAAGAAGTTAAAATATCGAATTTTAACTTCGGATGGGTCTGAAATGGGTTCAGATTCTGTCTCGGTTTCGGTAGCGAAATTCTCCGGATAGAACGGAATCCGGTTGCGTACATTCGCGATGGTCGTGTTTCGTTGCATTGGACGTCGTTCCGGGCGGTAAGCATTCGCGAACGATTGCTAACGGTTAAGAAGCTTCCATTCGGCGATTACTTCGGTGTTTTAAAACAAGACAATTTAATGGATCTATATTTCAACATTCTGATGTTCTCGTATTCCGTTTTTTCATCCTTCCGCTTTTGCAGAACGAACATCGGATCCTTCGGTATCCGTAAAATTGTGTGTTGTGCGCTAAAACAAGTACAGCACACTGTGACACTTTTGTTTTGCTAGATTGTTCAAATTTGAACAAGCGCTCCGGGATTGAAGTTTTGCGTGCGTTGTTGTGTGTTTAGATGGACCGTAACATGTCCGCCATTGGCAGGCTCAGACGGAGTCCGTCCCCGTCACGCGGTGGTCCCGCTGGTTCCAGTAAATTGCGCATGGATCGGAAGCCTACTCATGCTAGGATTAATGGTAAGTTTGTTCCTGCGTGATCCCATGGAAAATGCTGACCCTTATTTTTTCTGATTCCATTGACAGATCCCAGCCACCCAGCTGGAAAGCGCAAGGAAATCGATAACGTAATGCGGAAGGCTCGGGCTTTTCCCAACGAAACTTGGGATAAGAAGCTTCTTGAGGTTGAGGAAAAGGATCCAAACCGTTGGCGTCACACCGGATTCAAGAAAATGTACATCGAAGAGGACCCCAGCAGCTCGGATAGCGAACGTGGCCGATACGGCAATGGTCCACCTCCCCGTGTCCGCAGTCGAAGTCGTAGCCGCAGCCCTAGCCGATCGGTACGATCGCCACCACTTCGGCATCGGCGCAGTCCGTCGCCACCGATGAGAAAGCGTCGGCCTCCCATTTCGCCGTCTCCGCCGCCGATGCGACGCCGTCCGGCGTCCATTTCGCCTCCACCGCCGGAACCGCTCATGAAGCGAAGACCCCGTTCGCCACCACCGCGAATGCTGCGTCGCCCGTCACCGCCTCCGGAGTTCCACCGCGGAAAGTCACCGCTTCGGTCGACTTCGGGGTCACCCCGCCGCGGAGTCGTACGTCGCATGTCGCCGATTCCGCCGCCGAGACCACGTGTCAAGCGACCACCATCGCCGCCACCCAAGGTAGGTCAACTCTGTTTCAGGTTCAATGCACTACTTCCCACAGTTCCAACACTTTCGGGCAGGTGTTTCAAAAGTACGCAAACCGTAGGTACGCAAGTGACGAACAACATATACAACAAAACATCTGTTCACACGCATAAAAGCGATGGTAATCGCCGGTGTCTCACGCACTTAGTTCCTACACGCAGTGATATCTCGCGTAACATTTGAAAAGGGCCTATGTCCAAAATGTAAACAATCCAGAAAATGAATTGTAAATTTTTCCGCCAGTATTTAATTCCTATATAAATAGATTGAAGTATTTTAGGCATTTATATTGTTCACAATAACAATAGTAACTATATCTCAGTACACAACATCCAAAACATGCGAAACGTTTTCAAAAATACATGAAAATCGATAAAAATTTAATATCACAGTAATAAGCCTTTTTGTGAATCTTTAAATGGTTAGGCCCTTTTTGTTAAGCCGTTGTGCTTGTCATCATAAATTGTAGGTCCTTTGCTAAGCCTTTTCTTAACGTCAAATAAATCATCGGCCCTGCCTCAAGCAGTAGGGCTTAGCTTTGATTTGAAATTTTTCAATCATCGGCCCTTCTACGTCGCTAGGCTTATGAATGGAACCTCATCGAACGAAAAAAAATATATGTTAGGCCCGAGGTTAGGCCGTTTTAGCATGAATGATTGGAAAAATTTGGTGGATCGGCCGTTTTTAAAATCAAGTTATTTTTAATGATTTTTATCGATAATGCGGAACATTCCTATACGACTGGTAGCTAATTACCAGTGCTACAGAATGGTATCAAAAATCGGTTTGTTTACATTTTGGACATAGGCCCTTTTCAAATGTTACGCGAGATATCTTCACTATGAAAAAGCACCTTTAATCGCGGTTAGAGATTACACTTATTTCCCAATGATACAACGTTTATTTGCCGTCGGCCGATCGCGGGGATAGTTTATTTACAACTGACTACTCTGACTGATCATCTGTTCTGCCTGCATGTAGTAGGAACGATACACGACCACCGGTGGACCGTACACTAAAGCCTTTCCTATTCACTCTACACAGCTGGTTGTATGGTGGAGAAAATTGAGAGTGAGTGATCGTGTATTGGGGTGGCTGTTGACTGCTGTTATTTGGTACGTCGGCTTGATCGGTACGGATTGCATGTCGGTACGTTGGTAGTGTGCTTTCGGGGTTCGATCGATTCCTTGGACATCAATCGACGCACTATGGGCAAAAATTGGTCCAAAATTACCCAAAATTCAATATCTCCGGCCATGAAAAACGACTTTTCCGAAGGGAAATCGATTGCACGTGGTCCCATATAACTTGCCTGGAGCGGATGCCCTCGTGACGATGCCCCAAAGGAATTCAGTATGGTACTGATCACTCTTAATGACTCACGAGGTTGGATCCTGACGGTAGCGGTGAGTTCTTACCGCTTCAAGGGCTGATCCTTTTGGTGTATTGACAGTCGTAGAGTTGGCCAAACTCCATTCTGGACGCTGCAGGTTACTGGACCACGGGATGCTGACAGGATTGACCTCCAAGAAATGGAAGTGGTTATTTTCATGCAAGTAAGCAGATGGACCCAGAGACAAACTGGCTACTCCGTTGATTGCTTGGCTAGGGACTTCACAGAACTTCTTGGCTGGACGATCACACATCTACCTTCACCAACGCATGGTTGTATCTCGGAAATAGAAATCAAGTGGACAAGGGCTTGGACTCAAATTCGAAAGTTGGTTCCGTGCGGTTGAATGTCCCGGGGACCCAGCGGCTATGAGGTATGAAACTTCTATTTACTTTTTGAAATACTGATACGGCATTGAGAAGCACTAGTGCTCGTCGTTGGTAGATGTTGCGTTATCCCGAATTGGAAGCACGCAAATCTTCGAGATGGAGCAAATCTTCGGAAGACCCCATTGCTTGTGCGCACTGCTACTACCCGGATGTTGTCGTCAGAGCCTCGGAATACTTCGGTGACTCGACCAAGATTCCACTTCAGCGGCGGTAACCGCTCATCCATTAGCAAGACCATAGTTCCTACTGTGATATTGTCACGGTACCTTGTCCATTTCGTGCGATTATGCAGGTCCGAGCGATACAGAGTAGTCCATTTTTTCCACAGCATCTGGACGTAGTTCTGCGATCTTTGCCAGACTGAGAGCCGATTAGCAGAAAGATGCTCCAGGTTCGGCTCAGCGATTGCTGTCAGCGGTCGTTGAACTAGAAAATGACCTGATGTGAGCGCTTCGAAGCCTCCAGGATCGTTGCTAACTGGAGTGAGGGGTCTGGAGTTCAAAACCGCTTCGATCTGTACGAGTACTGTCTGCATCTCGTCCTAGAGCAGAGTTCTTGTTCCGAAGGCGTTCTTGAAGCATTTTACGGCAGCTTCCCATAAACCTCCGAAGTTTGGTGTTCTTGCCGGGATGAACTCTCCGATGCGGCGTTACTGGCTACTGCGTTCTGGAACTGCTGACATTCGAACAGCTTCATCAATTCCCGTAGTTCTCCATTAGCTCCTACAAAGTTCTTGGCGTTGTCGCACATTATCAACGCTGGACGTCCACGACGAGCGGTGAAGCGTTTCAGTGCTGCTAGAAATGCTTCCGTGGTGAGATCGGCGACAAGTTCAATGTGTACTGCCTTGGTGACGAGGTACACGAATACAGAAACATAGCACTTCATGGGAGGACTACGACGTTGTGGATAGGTGACCAGGAACGGGCCGCAGTAATCCACACCCACCTTCATGAATGGTGGTGCTGGAGTTACTCTTTCCGGTGGAAGCTCGGCCATCAACTGTTGTTGACATCGGGGATTGTTTCGAAAGCAGGTGATGCATTCGTGCAGGATTCGTCGTGCAATTTTTCGGATGTTCGTGATTCAAAACCTTTCTCGTGTGCTTGCGATCAGAACTTGTTGCCCGGAGGGAAGCATCTTCAAGTGGTAATGCCGAATTATCAGTGTAGAGAGAGGATGGCGATGGTCGAGTATCATCGGATGCTTCCGACTCTCCGAAACCGGCGCATTCTGCAGCCGACCGCCGACGCGAACAATGCACTCATGGATCTGAGGATTCAACGATGATATCCTTGACGAATGTTGAACCTGCACCTCCTGGGACAAACTTGCTATGTCGTCCGGGAAGCATTCCTTTTGCGACAGTCGAACCAAGTCCTTGAGTGCATCTTCATACTCCTGCGTTCCGATGTACCCGAACTTCCTGCAAGTTCGGTTAGCTCTCTGGGCATTGTGGCGAAATCGGCGAATGCAGAATACCAGACGACCTCCTTTAGCTCAGTCGGTAAAGGCACAGCTACAAAGCAAGACCATGCTGGAGGTGGCTGGGTTCGATTCCCGGTCCGGTCTAGGAATTTTTCGGGTTGGAAAATTTCTCGACTTCCCTGAGCATAGAAAGACCACCAGACGAACTAGGCTGAAGAGCGACGAGTGGAGCGAGAAGATTTCGCTCGGTGGAGAAGCTTGTAGCGGCATGGCAACGGTGCTGCGTTCTTCAAGAACTGCTGGATCAAGCTGATCAATGGCTACTTCAGCATTCTCGGGCCAGTAACTTCTACTTTGGTGTAGCCAGATGGGACCTCTGAACCAACTGTTCTGGTATTCAAGCTGTGTGGCTGATATACCTCTTGAGAGAACGTCGGCTGGGTTTTATATTCCTGCTACGTGGTTCCACACTCCTCCTTCTATAAGATGTTGGATCTCGGACACCCTATTGGCAACCAAAGTCTGCCATCGCGATGGAGTGGAAGCAATCCAAAATTTGACAATGTTGGAGTCCGTCCAGAAATATGAAGGAACTGCCAGTTGAGTGCTACGACGCACCTTTTCATATAGATGGCTGAGTAACAGAGCGGACGAGAGTTCTAGACACCCCTCACCCCTGTTTGCGTTTCTTCTTTTTCAAATCCTCCAGCAGCGCTACTCTTGACGTCGATATCATTAGCTGGACTCGAACCGATCCATCAGTGGATCGAAGATACAAGCAAGCACCGTAAACGCTATTAGAGGCGTCGCAGAACCCATGCCATTCAATAGATGTGCATTTCTTACTGTACCCAACCCATCTGGGAATGGTAATGGATTCTAGTGCACTGAGATTCCTGCGATACTCCAGCCAAAAGGTTTGCAAATTTTCAGCGAGCGGCTCGTCCCACCTCACTTGCAGTTTCCATAACGTTTGGATGAAGATTTTGGCTTCAACGACAGGTCCTATCAGTCCCAAAGGATCGAATAACTTGAACGCATCGGAGACGACGGTTCTTTTCGTAACGGTTGGGGTGGGATTCCATTTGGGAAGTTATCGGTTGTCGGACTCCAGAAAAGACCCAAAGTTTTGACGGTAGCGGACGATACAGGCGAATCCATGTCAAATACCGCCCGTTCATCTCGTAGATGTGATGGTAGCTCGCTCAGAACTTCTTCGCTATTCGAATTCCACTTACGCAAAGTGAATGCAGCTAAATTGGTCAGATTGACTATCTCCTCGACTAACCTTCTTCCTTCCTCAGGATCATCAACCCCAGTGATCATATCATCAACGTAGGAATCTTTCCGCAGGATGTTTGCAGCGATCGGTGTGTTGATTCTCCATCTTCTGCTAATTGTACCAAGCAACGAGTCGCTAGAAAAGGAGCCGATGCTGTACCGTACGTAACGGTCGTCAGTTGGAACATCTCGATCTGATCATCCGGGGATTTCCTCCACAGAATCAGATGTAACTTCTGATCGAGCAGGAACATCTTAATCACACGGAACCGTGTGTAAATGGAGATGAGATCATCCTGGACTACAGGGCCAACCATCAACCCATCGTTGAGCGAGAATCTTGATGTAGTTTTGCACGAAGCATCGAATACAACGCGCAGTTTCGTTGTTGTGCTATCGGGTTTCAACACGGCATGGTGCGGCAGGAAATAGCACGCGGACTCGGACAGATCTTCTTCTCGTACCTTCTTCATGTGGCTCAT